CTCTCTCTCTCTCTCTCTCTCTCTTCTCTCTCTCTCTCTCTTCTCTCTCTTTCTCTCTCTCTCTCTGTTTGCGTATGTGTGGGTGCACTGCATGTGTATGCACATGTGTGTGTGATGTATGTATGCATGTTGAAGCTGTTTATTTTGGAAACTTTGTATTGTCCTGTTTCGTTAAACAGGCTGAATTGTATGTATCCAAGCTTTAGTTTGCAAACTTTGCATTCGTATGCAGTGGTTTGTTTTTGCCATGAACTTGAATTAAATGTGATAAACTTGGACTCTAACTTGGGACTTGGCCTAGTCCAAGCTGAGCCAACTTTGTGGTTCTTGGCTGATCGTTAAGGTTTGGTATGAGTCAACCAAGTCTTCAAATATATGCTAGAGCCTAAGCCAAGTAAATTTGATATGGCTCACTTGGTTCATCCATCTGGTATATATGCATAAGAAGCCTGTACTTTTGCCCCACACTAGGTCATTCCTACTTGAGATATTCATATATTAGTTTCTCCCATGAAGTTAAAATCTGATCCAGCCAGCCCTATATTTGCAATGGTAATAAGTGCACGGGGATTGTACAGTTCTTTATGGAGCTTGCGATGGCATGCAGATCAAGCAATTAACAATGAACATTAGGAATTAGGAATTAGGAATTAGGAATTAGGAATTAGGAATTAGGAATTAGGAATTAGGAATTAGGAATTAGGAATGAAAACCTAGTTTTTGAGACAATGCTGAAGCTACTCAGCTCTTAACTGAAGTGCTCGGTGTTTTTTCGAACATGACATGACAATGGTCAATATACAGGATTTTTTCTGACTTCATAGGTAATTCGACTGGGACAAGGTTAAATTTGAAAAATGAGGGAGATGCTCCTTAATTCTTTCTGCTTTTCTCTCGAGTCTTTTTTCTAGCATATTTTCAAATAAAAAATCCAAAATTGAGAAAGTATTCAAGCCCATACTTGTAGATTTATTTTCGTTTTGTTTTTCAAAATTTCCCATCTGAATATAAACAATACAAAGGAAAACAACAGTTGTCATCTGCATTTCTGTGGGGCCCTCCAGGATCCCTCTTTATCTAAATTATCTTTGGCCTTCAATGCCTTAAAATTGCTCCAATCCTCAAGAACTACTTTCAGGTCATGGAGTTTTTTGCTAAGACCGACACAGCAGTTTGCATGCATTGTACAGACCTTGTTCAGATCTCTACTTGGTTGGCAAAACCCACCAAAGTAAACGGTATCGAGAAACCTCAGCTTAAGCCCTGTGTCTATGATAATGTCATCATGTTTGATTTCATTGAGCACATCCTGATCATGCTTATCAGGGTATTGCTTCCTAGCCATGTACCAGTACTTGTAAAAGCGAACTGTTTTATCATTCGATCTCACATAATTAAACCCTCCATTGGGCAAATTGTTTAGGTCTGATGAATTGCCTAAAAAAAAATCACATGCTATTTGGATGTCACCATTCTCTGAAAAATGTGGGAATGGATCTCGAAACCACATTATATCTGCATCCTGCAAAGGTTAAACATCAATCCCAAGTGAGAGTCTGATATAGAATTCCTTTAAACTTGTTTATACTAGTTTCAGTAATTAGGAGATAGAAAGCTAGTATGTTGCTGTTCGAGAATTTCCTTGCAATGATCAACCGTCATAGTACTTAGTGGGAAGCAATCCATCGACACTATGCTCTAAGATTCTGATTCATTGTTTACACTGTTTTCATCATCAGGAGGAAAGATAGGAAGTTAATGTGTGTATTTTTTAGGGTTCCTTGTGATTTCCTTATTATTTGGGGTGGAGAAACGATATCCAGAAACAGAGCCTGTAGTTTCTGTTCCAAAGTGTCCTTACAGCAATATTCTCGTCCCTTATGTGAATTAGGGAGAAAAACAACTCCACAGCTCCTTGTTCTAGGAGGGTCTGCTTCAAAATAGCACCTATGATTTTATGGGCATATAGAGAGAGTTAATTGTTTTTTTGGGTGAATGAGAGAGTTAATTGTTGAAAACACACACACAGCATGCAAACACACACACAGACCCACACAGGCATAATTGTTGAGGAGCAGGCATACCGTGAAGACGAAGCTATAACCCAGCTCAAGGACAATTCTGAGGAAATTGATCCTCCTCCACATCATTTTTAAGTAGTCTTCGGTCATAAATGATTTTTCCCTGGAAAAGTCGATTCCTTTAGTGGCGAGGAAGAAACAATGGCTGTGTATAGACTTGCATCTTTTGAATGCCTTTTGATCGAGGGCCACGATCACTAGATGTTTGAGAAGGTCATTTGTGTTTTCACCAATCTTGAAACTTCTGAGAAAGAGATCAATGATTGAATTTGGAGCTGCCCATGCTGCATTTAGTGTGGTTATGATAACTGTTTTGTTCAGCATCGCAGCTCTCTCCAGTACCCCCTCAAGTCCTGCAGTCTCAGGATTCTGTTAGAGAGAATGGACCTTGTTTAGTTAGAGTCAGTAGCATGCAGCATCAATATAATTAGTTGGAGTCAGTATCATTCAGCATGAATATGATTACTTGGAGTCAGTATTATTCAGCATCAATATGTGTGAGAGACAGAGACCTTTGACTCTTCCTCACAGAAAACCAGAGAGAGACCTTTGATTCTTTTTCACAGAATTACAGTAGTCTGCATGTGTTGTGTGTTTCAGAGAGAGAGAGAGAGAGAGAGAGAGAGAGAGAGAGAGAGATCTTGACTACTTCCTCACAGATAACCAGAGAGAGTCTTCGATTCTTTTTCACAGAATACCAGTAGTCTGCATGTGCTGTGTGTGTCACAGAGAGAGAGAGAGAGAGAAAGCAATTGAATCAGAGGAAAGATGCTATAAGCCATATGACACAGGTTATAATATAGAGCACTAAAACCTCTGGTGCTGATTAGGAAATTGGGCTGTGGGGGAAACTTACAGCTATCCATAAACTATGAATCCCCAGATTCCATGTTGAAGAGAATTGAAACACATGAACTGGGTTGCCTGCAAAGTAGCAGAAGGAGAGAGAGAACACCATGAAGGCCATGAAAACCAACAATTTGGGGTTAGGGGGATAGCTGAAGCTCTTACGTAAAACAGCCATTGTCGAGCTCACCCAAAAGCTCCTTGAAGAGCCATTAAGAATTGAAGTTCTTATATACAGGGGAGTTTCTTTCTTTTGCAGATTCCTGACAACATATTGTGGTGGAAATAGTAATAAAATGGCTCTATAATTTGAAAAGACTCAAAATTTTGGGTACGTTACAGGTATGACTGGTCCACCCTAAGGCTTAAATGCTCTAAAAGCCATTTATGTCTCATCAATGGCCATTATGTCTCATGAATGGCCATTATGTCCTTAACTAAATTCAAATTTGGTGCCCTAAAAATTTCAGAGCAATAGGTCTATTTTTGAGTAATGGGTGAGTCTTATGGTTCATGTATGTAATTATATTCAGTATTCTCATGGGTCACTCACCAAAATGAGTCTTTGGGATTTGCTTTTTGACCGTGAGAATAATTGGAGGGTATGTTTGGTATTTTGGTACTTGAGAGTGGCATATTCCAGAAACTGGAGATAGTTTTCCTTCGTCTTGTGGCAGGGAGAGAACGGGAGAGAGGGTCCACTAAAAGAAATTCAATGGGATGAATTTTCCAATTTTTTCCTCTGTGAGTTTGACAAATCGAAGACCTTTTGGTACATCTCTCTCTTTCTCCCTTATCTAATACCCTTTTTTTCCCTTGGTTGTTGTTTTTTTTGCTCTCGGAAATGTATCTATTCAACGATACTTTTGTACAACTGTCCAATTTGAAATTTAAGGAATAAAAATGGTTGTGACATCACGTACAAAAGATAAATGATTTATGTGTTGGCAGTTTTTTATTTTATTTGGTTAATTTCTTATATTTCCACTTCAGTATAGAATGAGAACATTTACGTTACTTTTGATATAGGGCGGTTAAATTAATTTTGGCCATTATATGTAAAATTGGGTGGCTGTAATTATTCTATTGACCAAACTCAAACTTTAAAAGAAATTTTTTCGAACTTTATGCTATATCCAAGTTATCAAATTTCACTTTAGATGGTTGTAAGTAATTGTGACGGTCTTGTATCACAGGTAAATTGTTTTTTTTTAGGTTTTTTTTTAAAAGGAAAATATAGAATGAAACTCTTTGCAAAATGTTTAAACTCAAACTAAAAAAAAAGTCTCCATGGTAGCTTGTCATACATTTCTAGCCGCCTGATTTTAAATGGTCATGTAATACATGTGTCTTGATAAACTCTGATGTGTTTCCTCTAGTCCGTTGAATTTTATTTGTTTCACGCATTTGTTGTGTAACAACTTTAGAAGGTTTCTAGATGGGTTTTTTTTTTTTTTGACATATTAATGTTCAAAATGGAAGGTGGAATGCTATGTCGATGGTGGCAATGGGCCGGGCTTAGCTCTAATCCCCATATGGCCGGCCCACGCCTTATTAGGGTTGGGCAGAACCAAAATCTAATGAATCAAAAAAAAAAATAGAAAATAAAAAAGAAAAGAGGGCCTGACTGGGCCTGTGCTGGCCTCGAGCAAGAGTTTGTGGCCGTGGCTCTACTTTTTTTAGGGCGAGGCTGACCGACCCAGGTCAGGTGGCTTGGTTCACCCTAGCACCCATTCCCAATTCCTTTATTTATTTCTTGTTTCACCTTTCAAGTGTCAACAATATTAACTCTCTTGTATACATATAAATAAGGGCGTGGATTGTATAAGCTTGCAATCTTAAACAATCAAATTAAGGCGCTCTTTCAAATTTTATTATATATATAATTTTAGTTTAATATATTCTTATGATGGCGTGAAAATATATTTTGATCAGTAGTTATATAATTTTAAACTCCAAAAATTCACATTAAGTAGATCTACAAACACATAAAATTCTTGAAAATGGACCGTCAAAATAATGTGTTGCAAGATACACTATTTTTGGGACTTGAAATCTTTTTTCTTTTCATATTCATACATTTTAATATTGAGATGATCAATTAGAGGGTTTTCCAACATTAAAGCAACCTTTTATGATGGATTCTTGAGGTGCGCCTCAATTCTACATTTTAAAGTTGCAAGCTTATATAAAACTTTTTATACAGAGAGAGAGAGATATTCTAGAGAGAGAGCCCAATTAATAGTCTTTAGCTGCTGATACTCTCAGCATTATGCGTGACTATGACACACATTTGTTCCTTTAAATATTGGACAGTTTCCATTCAGCACATTATTTTTATCATGCGGATTAAGTGCATGATGTACTCCCCATGGAGTATATAATCTTTAGGGAAAGCTTTCTATGTTCCCCTATAATATAAAAGTTCTATGTTCTTCTTTATCCAACCGTTCATTTTTTAATGAAGGGTTAAGATTGCCCCAATCACAATGTCACGTCTCTACACTATTTTATTTTTAATTTTTTTTCTATAAACTGTTTTGATAATTTTGGACGTCCATTCCTATATTAAACTCGCACTAACGAAAAACATAAAAACAATATTTTCAATAAAATAAAATGATCAAAATACCCCTGAACGATTCAAGGGGTATTTTGGTCATTATTTTTTATCGAAAAATTATTGTTAATTTTTTTTATAGGTGCTCCCCAATGAGAAGATGGTACGTACCAAATTTCATATTCAGAAAAATTGTATTAAAAACAAACTAAAAATAAAATACTTTGAGATGTCGGATCTAAGATCAAACGATGAGTGGCTCTCTTGATAAAAAATGGACGGCTGGATGGTAGGGGGAACATAGAACTTCTATGGTGTAGGAGGAACATAGAAAGCTTTCCCTAATCTTTATCGTGGCTTTCTTGAGTTTGCTTAGACAAGAACCCTTATAATTGCCGAAAAGGAAAAATTAATTCAACTAGTTAGATTCCTTATTCAGGACTTAGTCAAAAGTTTCTTGAGAGATGATTGATTAAATTGGTTTCCCCTAAGAAAAAGACAATTATATTAGGGGGTGCTTTTCAAAAGGTTATCCCCTGCGTGATGGTAACTGAGAGCGAATTAAAAACTGTTAAGACATTGCTTTGCCAAGGGATAAAGTTTTTTGGCCGGATGAATTTTTCCTTATCTTTTTTCAGAAGTTATGGGATATTGTAAAACTGGACTTGTTCCAAAAATTTAACCATCTCGAGGATTTTTGGTGTTTGGCTGATTAGTCTATTGACTAGTCTTTATAAGATAATTGTAAAGATATTGTCAGAAAGATAAAAGAAGGTGCTTCGATTTGTCATTTCAAAGCCTCAAACAACTTTCATCAAAGATCATGTGATAATTGATGGCATCTTGATTGCGCAAGAGTGCATCCACTAAAGGAAGTTGAGTAGAAAGCCAGGGATTGTGTTAAAATTGGATATGGAAAAAACTTACGATAGATTGAGTGGGGTATGTTGATGGAAATTATGATGTGTATGGGATTTGAGGAGACGTGTAGGTCTTGGATTAAGGGCTGCATTTCTAGTGCTTTCGGTCCTAATTACTGGAAGCCCTAAAGGTTTTTTTAAAGCTTCTAGGGGGCTGCGATAAGGAGATCCACTGTCCCTCATTTTATTTACCATAGTTGCCGATGACTTTAGCGTCATGATTTTTAATGTGGAATCCAGGAGTCTATTCAATGGGTTTAAGGTTACTAATAATACTGATGTTGTTATTTTGCATCTACGACTTGCAGATGTTACAGTTCTTTTTTGTGCGGCAGAACTGGAGGAAGTACAAAGTGTAAAGAAGCTGCGCCAGTGTTTTGAGATGACTTTAGATTTAAAAGTTAAATTTGGAAAGACATCAATGGTGGGAATTGGATGCTCGCAATAAGTTATGGAGGCATTGGCTACAGAAATGTATTGTAAGGTGGAAACTTTTTCTATCAAGTATTTAGGGCTATTTCAGATTTGAAATTGCGTAAAGCAGTTTAAGACCCCGTTGTTCAAAGAGCTTATGTTAAGCTTGATTTATGGAAAACGAAGTATCTGTCTGGGAGGTAGATTAATTGTTATTCAAGCTTCGTTATCCAATTTGCCAATTTATATGATGTTTCTGTTGGTGATGCCAGCTTCTGTGTATAAATACTTAGAACTATTAATGAGAAATTTTTTATGGGGATCCCATGGGGATAGTCCAAAATACTATTTGGTTAATTGAGAGAGAGTGTGTACTCTTAAAAAAGATAGTGAGATGGGAATAAAGAGAATAAAGTTGTTAATCATACTTGCGTTCTTTTCTTTGTGAAGATCAGTTATGGCGAGAGGTATTAGTAAGAAAATATGGATTTGATCTGACATCTCATTTGATATCTAGGAGAAGAAGGGCAGCTGATCAATCTCCAATGTGGGAACTAGAACTTTGGTACAAGGTAGCTCCAGATTGGGTAATGGAAATTCGATTTATTTTTGGCATAACAGATGGATGGGAGATAATGCCTTAAAATTTCAGTTCCCACAAATATTTGGATTGTCAACCTCTCAAGAAGCTAAAGTGGTGGAGATGGCATAAGTTGTTGGGGGATTTGTTGAATAATATTAATTGGTGCCGTATTGCGCATGCGATGGATGATGAATTGGTGTGGGAGGCTGAAAGTGACAGACAGTTTAGTGTTCGATCTGCTTATGACCTTTTATTTTGTGATAGATTGAGATGGAATTCATGAGTCATTTAGAAATGGCCGGTGCCTTTGAAAGTGCGTTTTTTTTTTGTGAATCTTAATTCAAAGGAAAGAATTTAACTAGACAATCTAATGAAGAGGGGTAGAACTATGGTTAATGTGTGTATTCTTTGTAAGGCGGATGAAGAAAGTGGAGACCATCATTTGTTGCATTGCTCATATGCCTACAATATTTGGAGTTGGGTGTTACAGTAGAAGGGACTGTCGATGGTTTTTCCTGTTTCCATGTTGACATCTTGGATCAGTGGGATTGCAGGAGTTTAACTAGGGTTGGTAGAAAGATTTGGCACGTGACTAAGGCATCAGTTTTATGGAGCTATGGAAGGAGAGGAATTTAAGGGTTTTTGAAGGGAGAGGGGTGGAGGTGAGTGTGGTGAAGAAAAGGATCACTTATAACCATTGTTTGCAAAATCGTCTAATCTAATCGCACCGCTTGGTTATATTGGAACTGGTATTAGGCGGTTAGGGTGATCAACTGATATTTAAAAAAAAAAATTCAAAAAAATATATATAAATTCTCAAAAATAAGGAATTTGATTAGTAATGTATTTTTTTAAAATATTATTTACATTATGATAATACTTGTTTTGATCATTAATACTCATTTTTATATTTTTCCATCTTTTTTAGAAAATTTTAAAATAGCCATTGGAAAATATGAAATGGGTTAAAATCTATTTTTTTTCATTAATTTTCAACTTCATTTGAATGTGTTTTGTTTTAATCATTCTTTATATGCTTTACATATTTTAGTATATTTTTTTTGTATTTTGTTAACACTTTTTTGACAGCCCCGGACTGGCCCAGTTAGAACAGTTGAATTGGCCAGTTTACCGGTTGGGCCGGTTAAACCGCTTCCAAGCCCATATCTGGTTAACCGTTCTGGTTCGATTTGCGAATACTACTCATAACATATAGAGTTTGCTATCTATAACAAAGGAGAGATTTAGATTATCGGAAGTTGATGTATCGATCAATCTTTCCAATTTGATTAGACAAAAGG